CACATTGATTGATATTTAATTTCTACCAAATACTATAATTATGTAGGCTCTATTTTATCTAAACAATCAAATTATAAAATCAATGATTTTAAATTAGTTAAATGTGAATGTTGTGACCAATTCATCGAATGAATGACAGTTTATACAAATTAATCAATATAGGAGAGATAAAATCAACGATTTTAAATTAGTTGAATGTGAATGTTGTGACCAATTCATCGAATGAATGCAAGTTATACAAATTAATCAATATAGGAGGGTATGAGGTATGATTTCTCTTAATTATCAAATATGATTATCAAAAACCTAGTTACCTCTAATCAATTTTTCATATATTTTTTAAAATCAAGAACCCTGATATAATTCTATAACATCTCTCGAATGTGGGGTAAAAATTAATCATAGAAATTAATTTCAATGTTTCTATTCCGAATTAAAATTTAGAAATTATCAGTTTCATGGTTCTTGAGTGGAACAAGCTTCAAATGAATTATATTTTCTCTTAAAACCTATAAAACCTAGTTTTTCTTATTTCCGTGATCATGCCTGAATTTCCCTCTTTCGAGTGTCGAAATTGACTAATATCTAATCATTCAACTAGTGGCTAATTAATTGAAAGTATTAAATCAATTACACAAATAAATGGAAAGAAAATTTTCATAGAAATAATTAAAACAAAATCAAATTATATCCTCAAGTTTTGGCCAATCGAACACTAGAAAAATTATTTAGTTCATGATATGAGATATGAAATCGATACAATTCATAAATAATAACATAATGAGAAGAAAGATAAAACTATTTTTTGAATAGATGAATAAATATTTTTCTCTAAGTTGTCTGTACCACCTTCTTGATTTTTTGATTCTTGTCCCTTCAATTCTTGACTCGATTAATTGTAGTTGAAAATTGGTCTTTAGAGTTGTATTTATATCATCATGAAGTTTTGGAAGAGTTGGATTGTATTGGGATTTAAAAAGATACAAAGATATGAAAAAAATCCATTTTTCTCGCTCGGTGGTGCCCCTAAGCCACGAGTGTGGCTTGAAATTTCAAAAAATATTGGTGTTGAGGCGCCCACTTTCGAGTGGAAAAATAGGCACTACGCATAATTCAATATTTTTATCATAACTTTTTCTCCCACCGTTAGATTGAGGTGATTCAAAAAGCATTTAAAGATAATTCCAATGGCTATAACTTTACGTCAGATAACTTTATCTAATTCAAATGTTTACTATATCAATAATGGATCTTATTAAAAATCTAGAACATTCTTGTACGATTGAAAATCGATTTGTGAAAATATTTTGACCATATTTAACTCATTTTTGACTTCCAAATGCATCCGGGATGACTCATAGCAATCTTCAATTATAGTTTTGCGGCCTGAATCAACTATTGAAAAGTTGCAATTGAGTCCTCAAATTTTGGATTTCACCATTTTTTGTCGTTATTCTCTTAGTCCTTTCAATTTAGTCCCCAATTATCAAGTTTCACCAAACCAACTTCTCTTTAATTCATGTCAACATCACCATTTTCTCCAAGTTCTATACAATTCACAACAATTTACCTAACCTATAAAACAATATTAAAACGTCCTAAAAATTATTAAAGACAATCAAAATAACAAGTTTAAGAGGCAATAAAACAATTAGTGAACCACACTTATTGGCGACGTTTACGTTTAGCTTTAAAAAGTGACATTACGTCATTTTTTAAATTGTGTCACTTAATTTTATATCATATTTTTTACTTCTTTTTTTAATTATCTATCATTTTATTTTTTTTGAAATTTCTAGCACTTTTTTAAAATGACAAACATCACGTTTTAATTAAAATGAAAAGTGACACTCAACTTTAAAAAGTGATATCGTGTCACTTTTTTTATACTTTTCATATGATTTTTACAAAGTATTTGTTACTTCCAAAATACCTTTTATGTGATTTTTCAAAACATCTATAATTTTAGGAGTATTTTTGTAAGTTGTCCAAAATATATTTTGAAAAAAATGGAAATTAAAGAGCTTAATACAAACATGGGGGTTCTAAAAGGATATGGGAGGAGGAAGTAAATTGGGTCGAGCCGGGCTGTTATATCAGAAAGGGAAAAGTTCATAGTTCAGGGATTTACTTTGAGAAAATAAAAAATCAGGTCCCAAAGTTTAAAATTGTAGAAATCAGGTTTTTTCATGAATTAATTAATTATACTTTACAATTATTATATTAAATTAAATATTTAACTGTAATATAATATAATTAATCAATCCCACCCCACTTCCACCACCCCAACTGCTCCGACGACTACACCGGCGACCGATGACTACTCCAGCTGCTACTTTCCGACAGCACTTAATTCCGACGACTATTCTGATGACCGTTCGCCGACGCTTAATTTAGATATTCCGAGGTCACATATAACGTATTAAGGTCACAGTTAGCTTAATTCAGATAAATGCTCCAATTTCGAGGTCACATATATCTTATTAAGGTCATAGTTAATTTCCTTGGTCACTCATCAAAAAAATTATAAGGTCACTTACATCTTATTAAGGTCACAGTTAGCTTAATTTAGATAACTGCTCTGATTTCGAGGTCACATATATCCTATTAAGGTCACAGTTAGCTTAATTCTGAGGTCACAGATATCTTTAAAAAATACAGCTAACTTCATTAGTCACAACAATAATTAGGTCACAGATACTAAAAAGAACGACCGCCATTGTTGACCCTACCACAACAATAACAAAATACAACCACCACCGCACGGATCCACTACCACCGCCCAAAACATACCGCCACAGATCCACCACAACCACACATCCCCAGATCTGATACATTTTTCAAAACCAAGACAACCATCCCCGCCAACAACACAGATCTCCACACCACAACCACCACCAAACAAAAAACCCCAACCCGCCACCATCACAGCCCATTTTTAATCCCAAAATCCACCGATGAGCCAAACACCCACACACCCACCCAACAGATCGGAGCAGTAGCCCATCAAGTCGCAGCAGCGTCACATCCCATCAATTTGCAGCAGGGTCGACGCCGACAGCAGCATCTTGATGCTGCTGCAGTTACTGTGAATCACAGCAGCGTTCGAACGCTGCTCACATCAGCGTCTGTGTGCAGTATGTACGCTGCTGTGTGCAGCGTTCGACGCTGTTGTAATTCATAGGTTCGAACACTGCTCGCAGCAGTGTCGACGCTGTTCACACAGCAATGTCGACGCTCCGACAGAGTAGGAGGGAGGAGGAGAAGGTAGGGAGAAGGGGAGGAGGCAGCGGCGGTGAGAGTGAGATAGAGAGACGATTGGGAGTTATGTGGGAATGAATTGAGAAATTAGGTTTTAAAAGATTAATTATTCAATTAAAATGATAAAATTTTTTTTTTTTGAAAAGATAAGAAACCTGATAAATGAAAAAAAAAACTTGAAAACCTGATTTTTTTAAAAGGTTAAACTTAAGAGGAAATTACACTAAACAAGGTATTTAGTTTTGTCTTTTAAAAAATCAGGTTTATACTTTATTTAATCAAAAATCAGGTTTTAATTTTTATCATTAATATTAATAATAATATTTTAAATTAAAATAATCTACATACCCACCCTACTATCTACCCTCCAAATTTATTTTAAGTATAAAATCCTAACAAAACCCTAAACCATTTCATTATTTCAATTCTCTCGCCTCCACCGCCACCGCCAGCCGCCTCCACCGCCAATGCCCGCCGCCTCTCCCC